AAGGGCCAGGGGAACGAGGGAGGACACAGAGAAGACAGTAGGGGGAGAGGAGGAAGAGGAAGGAGGGATCGGACAAAAAAATACTCCGACGGTAGGACCCCGCACGAGAATCTGTTTAGCTTACCCTTTGCCCTTTCCTCCTCCTCCTGGCGGACACCCTCTCCTCTCGCCCCCTGCACTGCCCTCTCTTCCCCCTTTTATTTCTCTTCCTCCTACTCTTTCTTCTCCTCCTCCTCCTCCTCCTCCTCCTCCTCCTCCTCCTCCTCCTCCTCCTCCTCCTCCTCTTCCTCCTCCTCCTCCTCCTCCTCCTCCTCTCGCGCCACCTCCTCCTCGTCGTCGGCCTCCCCCATGCCCCTTCCCTCCTCATCCCCCTGCCTTTTCTCCATGTGCACCTCCCCTTTCCCCCTCGTCGGGGCAAGCAAATCCATTTTCCTCAGCACCGTCGCCGCCTCGGCCAGCGCGCGCGCGTCTGCCGACGGCTAGATCGCGAAACCGTCGGGACAAACCTTCGGGCTGGGCCGTAGGCTCCCGCTCGAGACTTCCTCCATATTCAGGTCTCAAGAGCCCAAAAGTGACGACAGTTGCACGTTGCGGATGACCCGCTCGGATTCGAACATGAAGCGCAGGCCCCATAGGGAGGGGGCTCCCGCCTGACACTTCCTCACGATTCACTCACAGACGAGGCTCCCGCTCAAGACTTCCTCCATATTCAGGTCTCAAGAGCACCAAAATGACGACAGTTGCACGTTGCGGATGACCCGCTCGGATTCGAACATGAAGTGCGGGCCCCATAGGGAGGGGGCTCCCGCCTGAGACTTCCTCACAATTCACTCACAAGCGAAGCTCCCGCCTGATACTTCCTCCATATTCAAGCCTCAAGAGCTCAAAAGTGACGACAGTTACGCGTTGCGGATGACCCGCTCGGATTAATAACATGATATGCGGGCCCCATAGGGAGGGGGCTCCCGCCTGAGACTTCCTCGCAATTCACTCACAGACAAGGCTCCCGCTCGAGGCTTCCTCCATATTCAGGTCTCAAGAGCCCCAAACTGACGACAGTTGCACGTTGCTGATGACCCGCTCGGATTCGAACATGAAGCGCGGGCCCCATAGGGGTGGGGGCTCCCGCCTGAGACTTCCTCACAATTCACTCACAGACGAGGCTCCCGCTCGAGACTTCCTCCATATTCAGGTCTCAAGACACCAAAAGTGACGACAGTTGCACGTTGCGGATGACCCGCTCGGATTCGAAAATGAAGCGCGGGCCCCATAGGGAGGGGGCTCCCGCCTGAGACTTCCTGGCAGTTCACTCACAAACGACGCTCCCGCGGAAGACTTCCTCCATATTCAGGTCTCAAGAGCACAAAAGTGACGACAGTTGCACGTTGCGGATGACCCGCTCGGATTCGAACATGAAGTGCGGGCCCCATAGGGAGGGGGCCCCCGCCTGAGATTTCCCCACAATTCACACACAGACGAGGCTCCCGCTCTAGACTTCCTCCATATTCCGCTACTATAGACCCCAAGATTACGACAAATACCACCGCTGGATGACTCCGCTCGGAATTCGTGAAACGCGAATGCGGGCCCCATAGGGAGGGGGCTCCCGCCTGAGACTTCCTCACAAATTCATCGCGACGAGGTTCCCCGCCTGATACTTCCTCCATATTGCAGGTCCTCGAGACCCAAACTGACGACAGTTTGCATGTTGCGGATGACCCGCTCGGATTCGAACATAAGTGCGCGGGCCCCATAGGGAGGGGGCTCCCGCCTGAGACTTCCTCACAATTCACTCACAGACGAGGCCCCCGCTCGAGACTTCCTCCATATTCAGGTCTCAAGAACCCAAAAGTGACGACAGTTGCACGTTGCGGATGACCCGCTCGGATTCGAACACGAAATGCGGGCCCCATAGGGAGGGGGCTCCCGCCTGAGACTTCCTCACAGTGCACTCGCAGACGAGGTTCCCGCCTGCTACTTCCTCCATATTCAGGTCTCAGGAGCCCAGAAGTGTCGACAGTTACACGTTTCGGATGACCCGCTCGGATTAATAATATGAGCTGCGGGCCTCATAGGGAAGGGGGCTCCCGCCTGAGACTTCCTCGGGATTCACTCACAGACGAAGCTCCCGCTCGAGACTTCCTCCATATTCACGTCTCAAGAGCCCAAAAGTGACGACAGTTGCACGTTGCGGATGACCCGCTCGGATTCGAAAATGAAGTGCGGGCCCCATAGGGAGGGGGCCCCCGCCTGAGACTTCCTCACAATTCACTCACAGACGAGGCTCCCGCCTGAGACTTCCTCAAGGTGAGTATGTGAATGAGTGAGCGTGTGACAGAGTGCGAGTGATGATGATGATGATGATGATGATGATGATGACGAGTATGTGAGTGACTGAGCGTGTGAGAGAGCGCGAGTGATGATGCTGATGTTGATGATGAGAGAGTGTGAATGAGTGTGAGTGTGAGTGAGTGGTGATGATGATGAGTGAGTGAGTGAGTGAGCGAAAGCAAAAGAGGAGAGGGGGTGGGGTGAGTGTTCCTGCGCGGGGCGTGCAGAGAAAACAAGAACCCCACTTTGGATGTGGGGAACAATAAGCATGGGGTGCGCAAAAGGAATATTGGAGGAAACGGCACGGAATCAACTGGTATTTTCCTGGACAGGGCGCGGGCCCAGGGTTCTCTTCTAATGGGTTTTACCACCCGGTGCGACTTGAAGTGGGCCAAGGGATTTCCGTTCGATGAAAAACGAAATAATTCCTAATTCGGCGTGGAATAAATGCGGTTCGCGCATGCCTGCTCAAAGAAAAAATGCCCCCCCAGGTCCGCGATAAATAACGGGGTCCGCAGACGCGCGCGTTCTTTTACTGAAAGCACGGTGCGGAGCGTTTGGCGCAGAATCCACGATAAAAAACAAAGTATGGGGGCTTCGGAATTCGTCGCAAAAACACATGCACACGCACGCGCGCACACACGCACACACGCACACACGCACACGCGCACACACGCACGCGCGCACGCACGCGCGCGCCCGCGCGCCCGCGCGCACGCGCGCGATCAGCCCCGCCGCCGCGCGCGCACCTGAACCGGCGCACGCGCGAGCGCACTCGTGAGAAACACAGCACTTAAACGCACACGCACGCGCGCACGCAACGCGCTAGCACGCACACGGCACACGCCACACGCAACAGCAGCCGTAACGCACACGCACAAGCACATCAACAGCGCACAGCGCACGCGACAGCGCACGGCTAACGCGCAGAAACTGGACAGCACGCTCGACCGCGCTCACTAGCAACGACTGCAACGCGAAAGCGCACACGCACAACGATTGACACGCGCACAGCGCAACGCGCACGCCAACGCCCGTGCGCACGGCGCAAAGCGCACGCGCAGCGCCCAACAGCGCCACGCGCGCGCGCACTACGCAACCACGCACCCCACACCGCACACTGCACACGCACACAGCACACGCACTACGCACACGCACACGCGACATCGACACGCACGCGCACGCGCACAAACGCACACGCACAACCGCACAACGCACATGCGCACAAACGCACGCAGCACAACGCACACGCCCACAGCACAACGCACACTAGCACGCGCACAGCGCACATCGCACGCCGCACACGCACAACGCACACGCACGCCACGCGCAACGACTCACGACGCACACGCCGCGCACGCGCACGCGCACACGCGCACGCACGCGCACACGCACACGCACACGCACGCGCACACGCACACGCACACGCACACGCACGCGCACATGCATGTGCACACGCACACGCACACGCACACGCACACGCACGCACACGCACACGCACGCACACACACGCACACACGCACGCACACACACACCACACACACGCTCACACGCACACGCGCACACACGCACACACACACACACGCACGCACAAACACACAAGAACCCCGCGATGAGAAAGTAGGCCCAAGACCAACCTTAGCCGATTCCAGAACAAGCCCCATTCAAGAGCAAGCCCAAGACATCAACAGTGGCGAGCCAACAGGCTAATATATGCAACCTTCGATGATTTTATCAGGGAGACCTCTGGGTGCGTCTCTTAAGCGGCCCCTGCAAGACGCGCCCCCGCCGCGCGCGGTCCAGAGCAAACGTGCGACGATGCAAGCAACGAAGAGAAGAAAGCACGCAAAGCTAGCTGGCGGCGGTGCTGGCGTTGGCGCCGGCGTCGGCGCCCAGGCGCGCAGCGTCTCGCCCGCCGAGGCAATCTCGCAGATAATGGAACAGGACATGAGAGCAGACGTGCGCACACAGCCTCCCTATACTGGAAGATCGGCGGTCAAACACAAAAGTCTAAGTCAGAAACGGGAGTCTAACTCATCCAATAATTGCGCCGCTCCTTGCCCGACTGCGGGGCCCGAGATTAAGACGGCCACTGGGCGGCGATCGACGCCCGGCTACTAAAGGGGGGCCCCGCTGCTAGCTCTGTTACGCGCGTCAGAAACACGCCTCCGAGACTTCGCATTGCTGATTATAAAGTTATGCCTGCAGCCGCTGCAAGGCCACTCGCCTGGCTTTCTAGAGACGAATTACCACCGTCCACAGGAGGGCACAGAGAGAGTAACTAAAGACAGACGGAGAGGAAATGGAGGAGGGGGAAAAATAAGGAAAGCATGAGCGCGCACAACTTGCGAACTCATGGACCGATGCCGTCAGCGACTGTCTAATATCGAAGAAGTGCAGCGCTGACCTGGTCTCTGGGCCGTCTGGGCGGGGAGCTCCTGCTGCGGGAGGGACAGCTTGCAGCGCACTTTCTGCCCACGCCCCATCTTTGTCAAGAAATTGACACAGCAATGCGCCCATGCCGTTCAGATCTTGCCCGTCAGCCTGCTCGCTGGAAGCGCCAGTAGACTTGAGTTCTCGGCGCCGCTGGTAGAGACTTTTCCTCTTGCCAATCTCCATCCACCAGGCCAAGTATGGAATCCCCCCATCGGGGATGGTCTAAGCCCAACTCAATGCATCAGCCCGATCTTTGCATATGCCATACATGCGGGGGCGGCCTCGTGTGTCTCCGTAGTCACCATGTTGATCATGATGGGCCCGTTCTCATGCGCAGTAGGCACGGGCTGCGCCCGGGGGAAGCTGCCGCGTCCTTTGCCACGGCCTCTGGGGTTAGAGCCGTCGAAGTTAAAGCCGGCAAGGTTACCTTCAAACATGTTACGAATCGCCCGCGCATTACAAGAAGTAGTGGGCGTCGACTGCTGCATGCTGACGAGCTGCTCGCTGTGGTTCTTCTTGTGGCGTTGCATCTCCACGAGCTCAGCCTTCATCTTCTTTATCACTGGGTTGCCCTCCAACAATTCACAATTGCCGGAGTCCAGACCTGCTGCTTCGTGGAAGCGCTCGATGGTTGCCTGCAGCTTGCTGTCGGAAATCCCTGCGCCGCCCACGACGTCCGCGAGGGCGCTCGGTCACGCGCGGGCTGGCTGACCGAGGCCATCCCTGGAATCTGCTGATGCTGATGCTGAGGCGAGGGGGGGCTGCGCGGTTGGCGGCGACGTCTGAGAAAGAGCGCTGCCACCTCCACCGTCGGCCTGAACAATAATTTGGCGGATCCGACCAATCTCGCCAAAAGCTCATATCCCGCAAGTTATTTCCACTCCGCTGTGCTAGCAGCGAGCTGAGACCGTTGCTGTATCCTTTGCCGCCACCAATGTAGTTGTAGCCTTCGCTACCGCTGTAATTGCTTCCGTGCAGCAGGCCTCCGCCGGCGTTCGGAGCACCGCCGCCCCTGCCACTGCGCGGGCGCCCCATCTTCTGCACTCCAACTGAGACGGGTGGTAGTTGCAAGCCGTTGTGGATGAGGTCGCTGGCGTGGTCTAGCTGAGACGATGTGGCCACGGCAGAGGGAATGAGTTGACAACAGGTGCGCTGGGCCAGGTCCAGACAGAGCACCACTGAATCGTTCAACTCACCCTCGGGGTACATCTGGCGCCGCGCGCGACAAGCGAGATTACTGGGGTAACCCGAGCGATGCATGAAAGCCATGTCAATCGAACAACTAGTATGAGGTCGATGGTAGGGTACCATTCTATACTAATATATACATCTATATACAAATCTATAGTGATACAGGAAATGTCATAAACAACTTGTTCACGTCCCCGTTGAAGACGCGCTCCTCATTTTTGAGTCGTGGTATGTATCGCGTGCCATCAGCGCTCCAAGCTACAGGCGCACCGAGACATCGAAACAGGAAAGTCGCCTCATATGGTTCAAAACCATGACCTAGTTCAAAAGTGACAGCCGTCTTCTATGTGAGACGCGAGCTGTCGCCATAAGCATGCACGGCACGCGCGATAGGAAAGCAAAATCGCATCGTCAACGCACCTACAAATGGTAACTTCACGGGCTCTGCGGGGCGTCGATGGTCGGGGCCGCGGATCATCATCATAAGTATTCAAGATATGAAAGTACCAGATGCAAGATCGCGCCGGGCAGAGATCCACATACCAGTATCCCAGAAAGGGTGCGAGAGCGAAGCCTGGAAGCATAACATAACGAAACCCAATGAATCCTTCAATGGCCCGCTTGAGACCCTGGAAGACACAGACGGTCCTGTCCCAGCGTCGTGCACCTAGCTTGCCACCCAGGACTACTTGCGATGTAGATGTGTGCAAGACGGACAAGGTGCGCGTGGTGAGCTTGTGTGCAGCACGACCAAACAACGTGTCCACCGCCTGGCGAATGTCGCGAGCTGCCAAAGCCTCATGCGCCTGACCAGCGTTCGCAACAATGAAGCCTGGATTGTCCATGCACCTGCGAAATCGGAAGCACGCGCGCTGCCGGGTGCCTGGGAGACAGTACGGAGGGACAAGAAAGCCTACAGCCACGTCATGCTCCTCGAATGCCAAGTCAAGACCTTCGAAAATCCCACCCGGGAATCTGATATTGGTGAGGGGTGTGGCGCCCCTGGGCATAGTCCGGTACAGTCGTCGCCCTGGGAGTCGATGGAAACTGCATCTTGCATAAGCAAGAGTGCCCTGTGTTGGTGCACTTGTTTCGCATGTGTACTGGGGGCATTTTCTGGTTACAGAAGGATAGCAGCATGGTTAGAAACGATAGCTTATACAACGGTGGTTAGGAAGACGTAGACTCTTACGTATACTGAAGTCACGCGTGAATCTACACCATTGTAGACAGCGCGCGCGCGGCAGTACATCGAAGGCGCCATTTATCGCATGGATGTCATATGAGCCCGAGCCATCTCACCTGCATGTTCTTGATGCTTTTGCCCCAGAGCGCGCGCGGATCTTTCTCCTCAGCGGTGCACGTGGCATGTCTGCTTGATGGGCAAAGTGAAATATATTGCGCAATCTGTCCAGCGCCTGCAGCTGCAAAGCGGGGGTCTTTCTCGACTCTGGCGCCGCATGCGCCTTCGCCATCGCAGGAAGAATTCGAAATAATCCACCGTCCAATGCCGAACGGCGACGTCGCGAAACACATTGACTGTAAGCGTCGAAGGAGAGATTTCCACCGGTGCTGTAGAGCCATGGAAGCCGACCGCTGACTGGGATGCTAAAAAGATCGGAGCCCTGCGACTTATTCTGGAGGATGTCGGCCGTGACAGTCTTGAGAAGCATCGCGGGGGACCTTTCAAGGTCCTGGCGCATGCGCGTGCAATGTGCCCGAACCGTCTTGCGAGCTTCAACTGCAATCCGAATCTGACGTCGCACATGTAAAGGCCATGCTGAACGTGCCATAGAAACTTGAAAGAGAACTACTGATATCCATCGTCGAACGGTTGGTGCGTCACGCCCATGGTCAACAAGAATGCGCGCGCCTCCTGGCCGCGGGAGTCAGGAATATTGAGGTGCGACGCGGCCGCCGTCTGGGCGATGGACTTCTCGGGCCAAAAAGCAAAAACCGTGCGCGAGACCCGCGCAGTGCGTGAGCAATCTGGATTACCATGTTTCAGCGACGCCACCTGCTGCCGCGCTATCTGCGACGGCTTCCATGGACGAAAGCGAAGAATAATAATAATGCAACGTGGGCCATGCAAGAAGACGGGCACATGGCCATGAGATTGCATGACGCGCCGTCGCGTAGAGGAACCAAATGCACAGTAGACATGGCCGTCGCGAATTGTCGCCCATTCGCGCGTCCTCTCTCGGTTTCGAGCATGTCTCAGTTGAAACTCGCGCAATGCCTTGACACGCGCCTGCTGCCAATGATACGGAGAACAGAATTCTTCCGGGCCGCGAGGGGGCTGAGGGCGTCTTTCTTTTCGGTGTCGTCGCTGTCGTGGGGGCGCGCCTCTTCGGGGTCGCGCGGAGGTTCTGGGGGCCCGCGCTGATCGCGCCATTGTTATACTTGCTGGTATTGTTCGCTCCGGGCGCGGCGCGAGATCTCTATGGCGGTTCCGCGGCAGCAGTGGCCGTCGACGGGGCAACCTCCAGGGGCATGATGAATATAGCATGATTTTGGTGCGCGCTTAATAATGCAAGATCTATTGCTCGATCGGCTTCGGACCTGTCTGATGCGCGCGCCCATGGAGTCTTGGAGCGCTCTCGTGCTCGTGCGACAGCTCCTGCGCGCGTGCCCGCGCGCCTGTATATTCGCCCCTGTCCAGTGCATCTGGCGCGCGAACGCATCTGATATACAAGCGATGACGCGCGACGCGTCGCGGGCGATTCGCCGGATATGCATTGCAGCCGCAGGCTGAGGATGTCGCAGATCTCTAGGACCTCTAGAAAGTATGCCCAGTCAGGTCTGGATAATGCACGCGGTAAGTCGGCAGACACTGGTAACCGGCATCTCTGCCCCCCCCTCGCCCCCCCCCCCCCCCTAGGGCTTCCGACCCAGAAGTCCGTCCATGTCGCACGTGTAAGGTATAAGGCGATGTCATAAGGCATGCGTGCAGACTGCTATAGCGTAGACTACCGCGCGCATGCTCACCTGGAAACCACGGGGGAGGGGGGGCTCTCAAGACAAATCTCCAAACATCAAAAAAACATACGATGATGTAGAAAAGGTCGCGCAATACGCCAGAGAGTTGCCACCGTCGCCCGACGAGCAAGCGCAATAGTGGATGTCCCTGAAATCCTTGTCGTGCGAAATTTCATGGTCGCATCTATGAGGTCAATCCAACTGGCGAGTGCACGTATTTGCGCTTGGAACGTATGATCCACAGCAGCATGGGGAAGATCATGGAATGAAACTCGTGACTGATAAGTTGTTCGCAATGTGACGGCAATGGTGTCCGTGATTCCTGCGAGCGAAAGTCGTGCGTCCATGGTGATCAATGGTCGCCTCCGCGATTCCTGCGACCGAAGATCCCGTGGAGGTCGACGCGAGAACGGCGCGGCACAATTAGGAATCATGACGTCACACCTTCGCGCATACATCGTGATGGGAAAACTAAGCCCAAGGCCAAACTCGGAAGATTCCTGGGCAAATCTGATTTTGGTCAACAGCGGGTAGCCGACAGGTCAGCACAATGTCTGCAACCTTCGGTATGCTTATCAAGGAGAGCCCTGGGTGCGTCTCCGAAGCGGCTCCTGCAAAACGCACTCCCGCCGTGCGTGATGGTCCTGAGCAACGATGCGATGATGCTAGCAACGAAGCCGAACAAACAAACAAAGCTAGCTGGCGGCGGTGCTGGCGCTGGCGCTGGCGTTGGCGCCCAGATACTCAGCGTCTCGCCCGTGGAGGCAATATTACAAATACTATAACCGAACATGATAGCAGACACACACACATACACACAGACACGCACACACACAACCAGCACACACAACACACAGCACACACTCACACATATTTCTTGCGCGCCCGCTTGAGGATGGCGCTCGCCGAATATTTGAGGATGTCTCGAGCGAAGAGTTTGTCTGTGGAACTTGAGCTGTCTGGGCGCCACAGGATGCTCAGGTGCCCGAACGCAGCTCAAATCCGCCAGCCCCTTTGCGGGGCCATCAGGCTGCGAGGATGAAGGTTGCTGCTCCCTGCGCCAGTTCCAGCTTCCAGTTTCCATGGTTACAGTGCTGCTTTCTGCTTCGGTCGTGAAACGAGGGGGGGGGGTGTGTGGGCAGTGCGGGTGGGGGCGGGGGTGAAAAAAAAACGGGATAGCGCCCCCTGAGAAGGTTCTCAGAATATCCGATAGGGGGGGGGGAGGGGGGCGTGGGACACGTTAAAATGCGCGAGTTTCGTGCCCCCCAAGCCATGGTCCGCCGACCCCCTTTGGGTCTCTAGGCGCGTGAGATAGCCCCACACCCATAATCCCCACCCCCTCCACCCAGGAACCCCAAACCAGAGATTCGACCCCCCCCCCCCCGGGCCGAGTCCGAGCGCACCACGGGGCTTTTTGGTGCCCACAAGGGGCTCAAGACGAACCCAGAAGGCCCCGAGAAGCCTCCAAGAGCCCACGAGGGCCCCGAG